TTGGATCCCTCCACTTCCCACTTCCAACTCTTATATTAGGAAAAACTCCAAATTCCTCACTGTGGCCTACAAGGCCCTGCCTGTCCCTTCCTGACCTCATTTCCTCACTCTGCCCTGGCCCACACTGAGCTCCTCACTGCTCCTCCAGCTCACCAACCTGGTTCCTGCCTCAGGACCTTTGCACTCACTGTTCTGTCTAGAATGCTTCTCCTATAGATCTTCTACTAAAATTACCCCTTCAGAGGGGACTTCCCTGACCAGCCAATTTAAAGTATCCCCTTTCTGTCACTCTGTCATAATGTGCTGTTTTCTTTGTAACACTAGTCACTATCTCAAACTACTTGCTTACCTGTCTATTGTCAGTCTCCCCACAGAAGAATACAAAGCTCTGGGAAGGCAGGGTCTGTCTTGTTCATCCTAGACCCCAACATTGTAAAGCAGTGCCTGATGCACAATAGGTCTGGTGGATATATATATGGCTGCATAAAAAATATCCCCCAAATTTAGTGGCTAATAACAGCAACCATCACTTATCTTTCATGGTTTCTGTAGGTAAGGAATGGCAAGGGATAGGCTGGGCAGTTTTCTCTCGGGGTTTATGGTCCCTGTGTTTCAGCTTCTCACAGCATGGCAGGCTCAGGGCAGTTGGACTACTTACATGATGGCTGAAGGCTTTTAAGAGCAAGTGTCCCAGCAAAGCAGGTAGAAGTTACATCCTCTGTCTCTTTTATGACCTAGCCTTGTAAGTTACATAGTGTCATTTCTACTACACTCTACTGATGGACCAGTAACAAGCCCATCTGCATTAAAGGGAAGGGAACAGAGACTTCAACTCTTGATGGGAAGAGGGCCAAATAATTTGGGGCCATATTTTAAAACCACCACAGTAGGTGATGAACAAATATTTGCTTAATAAATAAATACTGACTAAATTAATTTGTTAGAGGAGACCCAGTAAAGAAATCAAAAGAAAGTTTAAAGGGCATGATGTTGGCAGTTACTGACACTGTGATAAAAATTGTGAAACCAGTGGAAATTCAGTTGGCTGTCAGGCTGATAGGTTTAGCATCTCTCAATGTGCCTTGAAAAACCACAACCGGATTATATTTTATCAAGTGATGACGAGTTTCTGGGAGTTCCCGAAGTGTGGGATGAATGTGGTGTATGAAATGACTCGGAGACGTGTAGACATGGCATTAAATGGCACCAAATCACATGGATTATAGTTATCCCATTTTCAATTACCTTTCATGCCTTCTCATGATGTCAAGGAGAAATTTCAGTTAAGTGATAGTACGCCTTTAATCCCCCTCTAATAATTTGCTAATCTCTCTTTACATCAAAGAAAAAGCAGGCGTGAGGCTCAGCACCTTGGAACAGTAGCCACCCAGGATTTTAAAACCTTATTTTGTTTTCCGGTTTATATTTTTTTTTAGCATTTTAAAAATATGTTTTTATTGATTTTTTTTTTTTTTCTAAGAGAGAGGAAGGGAGGAGAAAGAGAGAGAGACATCCATCAGCTGCCACTTGCACATCCCCTGTTAGGGATAGAGCCCACAACCAGGGTATGTGCCCTGACTGGGAATCGAACTGGTGACCTTTCGGTGCATGGGAAAACGCTCAACCAACTGAGCCACACCAGCCAGGGCCCTGTTTATTTTTACAATCACCTCCTATTCATGGCTTGCAGTTTTCTATTTTAAATGGTGATATACAGTGTCTACTTAACATTAACTTTAGAACAATAAAAAGGCAAAGAAAGAAACATATTAATTCATTAAAGGTCAGAGGGTTCAGAGATACGGCAAAGGCCAAGAAGGGGTTATATGTAATGATATATAATGAATATAATGAAACCAACAAGCTAGAAATGAGAAAACCTAAGTCCACACACTGCTGCAGACCACCAGATGGACTTGATGATGCCCCCCCCAGGGCCCTTTCCAGCACTGATATTCTAGCTATTCCTGGAGAATTTCTGACTCAAGGTCTGTGGCCTGTGCCTGAAGCCTGGTGGCAAAATCTAGGGTAGCAGAATCCAAATGTCTATTAAGTAAAGTTAGAAAAAAAATTTAATAGTATTAAACATACCCCACTCCCAATAATAAATAAAAGTTCCACTTAAAAGTTTCTGACAGCCCAGCCAGTGTGTCTCAGTGGTTGAGCATCAACCAATGATCCAGGAGATCTCGGTTCAATTCCTGGTCAGGGCACATGCCCGGGTTGTGGGCTCGATCCCCAGCAGGGGGCGTACAGGAGGCAGTGGATCAGTCACTCTCATTCATCATTGATGTTTCTATCTCTCTTTTCCTCTCCCTTCCTCTCTCTGAAATCAATAAAATATATATATATTTTAAAAGTTTAACAGTGAGTCTCAAGATCTAATGTGCATAGGAAGCCCCTGGGTAGCTTGTTAAAAATGCAGATTCTGATTCAGGATTTGGTATTTCTAATATGCTTCCAAGTGATGTGAATGTTGCTGGTTTGGGGACCACTGAGAAAGTAGCAAGCTCTGGAAAAAAACAGAGAGTGCTACTATGCATCTCTTCCCAACTTTGTGGTTAGTGACAGTCACACCACTAGCCTGAAATCGGCCATGAAGTATATATACCGAGAAAATCAGCATTACAAAACAGGGTTCAATCAATTATTTTATTAAGTGTCTTCTAGACTTACGACAGTGATAGGAAAACCAGTAAAATTTACAATAAACCATACACATATAGACACACACATATACACATACATACATACAGACACACACATTCTCCCCCAGAGAAGCAGTTGTTAAACATGTATCACACTCCACTGGTTGTACAGATACATATAGGACAACAATGTAGATACACATGTACTAGATTAGAGGTTGGGAAACTTCTATAAAGACCCAAATAATAAATATTTTAAGTTTTGTTGGTCAGACAGTGTCCGTTATAAGCACTTAGTTCTGCTGTTGCAGCTGGAAAGCAGCCATACACAATATAGAAATAAGTATGGCTGTTTTCAAATAAAACTATATTTATGGACACTGCAACTTAAATTTCATACAGTTTGCACATATCCTAAGATATTACTCTTCTTTTGACTTTCCAACAGTTAAAAACGTAAAACCATTTTTAGCTCGCAAGGCAGATGTGGCCCACAAACTAGGGGACCTCCCCATTTAGCCCACTCTGGAGGAGGGAAACTGGGATTCAAACCTAGATAAGCCATAGCATACAACGTCCCAAGAAGAGGGATCAGCAAATGCAAAGATCCCGACGCTGGAAGGAGCCTAGTGCTCTCCAAGGATGGAAAGACCCATGTGGCTGAACTGCAATAAGCAAGGGGGCGCATGGGAGCAAAGCACAGGGGGCTGTGTAAGCCTGAATAAGAGGTTTACAACTGATTCCAAATTCAGCAGAAAGCCCTTTGGAAGCGTTAAGGAAAGATGTGCCCTTGATCCACTTTATATTTTTAAAAGATTCCTCTGCATGCTGCTGTGTGCAAAATAGAGCCTGGAGCTCTAGAAGAATGAAAGGAAAGAGAGCAGAGAGAGCGAGAGGACACTGTCCAGTCTTCCAGGAGAAAGAGGAGGATGGTGGGCCTGGGCTGAATTTTGGAGAGCAAGGCAGAGCCCACAGGGTGTTCTGAGAGATTTAGAGCAGGTGAATCGAGGAGTTCAGGGTGTCCAACATTCTCACATCAGCCCGTGGGGCTGATCAGCCCACTTTACAGATGAAACTCCAGGCCCCACTCTGTGCAAGGGCACTGCTCCATTCATGGCAGCCGCGTACGGCCATCCCAGGGCTCCCGTTCTCTTGGCTCAGGGAGACCAAGTCCCCTTGCGCTGGGTCCCCCGGCCAGCGCCTGTGTCCCTCCCCCTCGGACACCACCCCACCTCCGCTTCCCACCTCCAACCACTCCCCACCTCCCAATGTGGCCTTAAGAAATCATTTGCCCAATCACTTGCCCCTTAAGGGGAAACTGAAGCCTGAAGTGACAGGGAGTCAAAAACCCCCCAGCAGGCCACCCCCTCTGGCCTCTGACCTGTGAGGGTAGAAAGTTTCCCTCCCCTGGTCCGCAGACCCCAGGGATTTACCTAGAGGACGGCTTCCATATCGGTGCTATGGACGGCTCACTCTCCCACCACCAGGCTCCCACGGAAAACAAGCGGTAACCAGGGGCGTCAAGACCCAGCGCCCGCCGCGCCAGCTCACGGAACATGTGTTCCCACCTGCCCCGCCGCTCGCGAGGAGCACTGCGCATGCGCCCTGCCCTGTCCACGCCCCCTTGATCAGCGGGAAAAGAAGGCGGGGACAGTTACTGCGCAGGCCAGTTCTAGTAACTTGGCCGGGCTCTGATAGCAACGAGGAGCTGGGCTCAGCACGCAGGCGCGAGCTGCCCTCCTCGCTCCGAGTCGGCTTGAGAAGTGCGCACGCGCGGGAGTTTCTGGCAGAAAGCAGGCGAGCCGCGGCCGGCGCGGAGCCTTGTGGGAGGGCTTGAGGAAGTAAAATGGCGGACCTGGCGAACGAAGGTAGGGGAGGCGCCGTCGGGGGCCATCTGGCGGCCAGCGAACGGGCGGGGGAAGGTCCAGAGGCCAAAGGCCCGAGGGGTGAGCACCTCGGAGTATGGGGTGTCCGTCGGCTCCGGGATAGTGGCGCAGTGGGTCCCGAAGCCGCCCCCCATTGCGTCCCCTCAGTCCAGATTCACCGGCTCGGCCCATCACTCCCGGTAGCCTCAACCCTGCCGCCGTCCAGCTAGGGGGTCTGGAAGGCCGCTGCGGCCGTGGCCCTGACGCCCTTCCGCCTCGCGGACTAGGCCGAGGGCTGATAGGCATGGGAGGTGCGGCCTCATCCCCTCGGTCTCGGTTGTAAATAGACCTCCGGGCCTGGTGGTGGGCCCAGCGCGCCACACTCCCTCCCCGCCCCCTCGTTCTCCCGTACCGGGCCCCCGCACCCTACCCCCGGCCTGGCTGGCCGACCCACCCACTAGTCCTGTGGGGTTCTCATCCTCCGCGGGCCTTCCCCAGTCCGAGGACTGAGGACGCCGGGCCTGTTTTCACCCCCGTCCCGAACTCGGCCCCCAGTTCCCGCCAGTTCCCCCGGATCCTTCGTGGCGACCTGAGAGTCGCGCCTCGTCTACCCCCATTTAGGCCCAGCCGCAGGATGTGGGCCGCGTAAATCCCTAGCTTCTCTTTGGCCTTTTTTGCTGCACTTCCAAAGAGAGAGAGACAGAGACTGTTATCCCCTCCCCTGTGGAGTGCTGACATCCCACCTGAACGTTTTTGACAAGGTTACAGTTCCTAATCCCTGGAGAAAACACTCCATAAACCGATGTCTGTTTAAATCAACAGTGGTGTTGATATCGCAGTAGCTTCAGGACTTCCGAGGCCTATTTTTAGCTCCCTCCTTTTCTAGGTGCACAGCTACAGCTATCTCCCTGCCTGGCCCTGATTCCCAATACCATGCTCCCTGCTATCGGAGGGTGTCCTGAGGTTTCCATAGTGAACCACATGAATTCATGAATTGATAATAAGTGCTCACCCTGGTGGAGCATTTGGGATGGTACCAGGTAATGTTCAATGTCTTGATCACCCTGTGTTATAACCGGCAATACTCACAAAAGCTTCATGAGGTAGGTACTGCAGCCCTGTGTTCCTGGTAAGGAAACTGAGAGTGATTAAGTTATTTGTACAAAGCAGGTCACACAGCTAGTAAAGAACAGGGATATGAATCAATAAGGTCTGGCTTCAGAACTCCCCCTACCCTGGCCATTTTATGCTACATCTCTTTTATAAGGTAAAGGAGCCCATAGAGCATTTCATTCATAAGATCCATTTAAAGGCAGAAGAGGGGCTGGACAAATGGGAATCAATATGATATACTTTATATATTTACATCTTCACTCCATTCAGTTTCTTGATTTCAAGACTCATATATCCAACATCATATTCGACATCTCCATTTGGATGTCTAATAGGCATATCAAACAAAATCCCTACCTTTTCCCCCCCACACCTGTCCATTCCACAGTCTTTCCCCCATTGTAGTAAATGGCAAGTCTATTCTTTGAATCAGGCCCAAAACCTTGAAGTCACCTTGGCTCCTCTCTTTCTGTCATATGCCACAACAAATCCTATCCTACCTTAAAAATATTTCCAGAGGGTGACCACTTACCACCAATACTACCGCCTCTTGGGCTTCCCTTCCACCCTTACCCATCTAACAGCTGCTTAACCCAGAAGCTATAGTGGCCCCCTGATACCTCCCTGTCCTCCTTTCCCACCACTCCCTGAGTCTGGCTTTCTCACTGCCCCTTCAATAGTCTGTAAACTCCCTCCATTATGCCTTTGGACCTGCTGGTTCCTCTGCCTGAATCACTCTTCCCCATTTACCTCCATCGCCCACTCCACCTTCAGGTTTTTACTTAAAGATTATTATTGAGACTTTCTCTGGCCACCTGTGTTAAATTGTGCCCATATTCCCTGTCCCCTTTACCCTACTTTATTTTACTCCAAAGCACTTAATCGCCATCTGCCATGCATGCTAGGTTTACTTGTTTGTTTAACTACTCTTCCTCTGGAATATAAGCCCCACGAGGCCAAGGCTTTCTATCTGTCATTATTACTGATGGAGCCCTTACATCTAGAACAGTACCTAGCACAGAGTACGTATCCAAGAAATGTTTGTTGAATGAATGAATGAATGAATGAATGAATGAATGAATGAATGAATGAATTCAATGAGGGCCTTCATTGTAAGGTATATCTTTTAGCATAAAGAGAAAATTATGGATTCCTGTTTTCCAGGGATATCATTTCTAGCACATACCTGACACATCAACTGTCAGTTATAAATTACATAGTTGAATGGGTAAGTGTAAAATAGAGAAATGGAATGTTTTTGCCTAATAAATGCCACACTCACCTAGTACTTTGCCTCTGGCACTAGTTCTGGCATAGTCATCCTCAGGAAATCAACTCTCAGTGCCTTTTTGTGCCTCACATATTCCTGCCATCCTTTAATTAGTTGTTTTGTGTTTATTAACTCCATTTCTGGATTTTGTTTGGATGTTTAACTTCTTATACATTGTAAACTAAGACTTCCTTGCCTATGCATTTTAAACCTTTAAGGGCTGCCCCCATCCATGAGGGAAATAGCTTTCCCTCTTGCTATTTAAGCTCCAAATGCCCCCTTGGATTCTGTGTTTCCAGACAGGGATTCTAGGTTGATCCATCTTACACTCTCTGTCTCTCTTCTCTGGGCCATTGTCACCTCTGTGTGAATCTGAAGTATTGGCTAGCCACCTGGTCTGGGCATCAGGATTGCCTAGGGAGCTTTCTTAAAACCACAAATGCTCAGTCCACACACCCCACCCATTCTGATTCTGTGAGGTGTTTGGTGGGCCCTGGGCATCTGTATAGTTAGAAAGCAGTCAGGGTTGAGAAACCACTGCCTTGAGTGGGACAAGTTAAGAGTGCTGCTTTGTGTATAAAGAAACGTTTCCAGTGGTATATCCAATACAGCATCTTGTTGGCTCTTGTTGCCATAGTGATCTCTTCGGGGATGCTGACAGCAACTCCCACAGCCTTTCTTGGTAGTCATGTAGTCCGTGACTTTTAAAGTCCAGTTGGAATGCTTCTCTCCTAGAGGTGTGTGTCTGTGTATCTGTTTTTGTCTCTGTGTGTGAATGTGTATTTTACACTTGTGTTTTGGGATATTGTCTTCTGCCTGGCATTTCACTATTGATATATCCCAAACTCTGATCCTCCTATCTCTGGAATTATTGTGCATTGTAGACTGACATTAGGATTTGATGGCAGCATTTTGACCTTGGTTAAGTTAGAGAAGAATGGGGAGAGGGTGAGGAGAGTGTATTTGAGCTATAGGAAATCTTGGGTTCTAGATCCGAGCATTACCATATATATCACCATATATGAATCCTTACTGGCCTGTGGACATGCATGGTGGAAACCTGAGATATGGTATGAAGTAGGTTCTCAACTTTGGCCCCAGTGGCATTTTGGGTTGGATGATTCTTTATGGAAGAGGCTGCCCTATACCTTGTAGGATGTTTAGCAGCATAGTGGCATCCCTAACTCTACCCACAAGATACCAGTAGCACACACCCTCCCCTGCATCCCTGCCCCAGGGGTCATGACAACCAAAAATGTCTTCAGACATTGTAAAATGTTCTGGAGTGGGGGCTGAGGTGAGCTATCAACCGTTGAGACCCACTAATATAAAGCCTGATGGTGAGGCACAGGCTTTGCCCTATAAATTGGATTTGTACTCTCTGAGTGACTTTAGGCAAATTCTTAATCCTTTTGAGCCTCAGTTTACTCATCAGTAAAATGGGAATAATGATGATCATATCTATCTCATGGTTGCTGGGAGCATTGGTTGAATTAATGCATATAAATTTAGCACCTGTCTCAGCACACAGTAATAAACAGTCAGTAAATGGTAGCTATTTTTACTGCAGTGGGCTCATGTTGTAGACACATTTAGCTTAAGTGCTCAGCAAAGAAAGAGAGAGTTAAGAAATGAATCTGAAAAAAAAGAGAAAAAATGAATGTGAATAGTGCTGATGAATCTGTCCCACTGAATGAGATGGCCCTGGGGTCAGCCCATGGTGAAGGCCAGCGGGAGCTGGTCCTTTTAAGTATTCTGTCTTCCCTTTCATTGGGTGATCTTCTAACCATGTGTTCTCGGCCTCAGCACTATAGACATTTGGGACTCATTCTTTGTTGTGGGGCTACCCTGTGAATTGTAGGATGTTAACTGGCTTCCCTTGATCTACTAGATGCCAGTAGCACCCTCCCCAGTTATGACAACTAAATATGTCTCCAGATATTGGCCAATGTCCCCTGGCAGGGTGGCACAACTGCCCGCCATAGGGAATCACTGATCTAGCCTGACCAACTGTCAGTCTAGAGATTTCCAAGGGTGGTTTAGCTTTTCTCAGTTTTTACCTTACTTGTTGACTTAAAACATAAGCCCTCTGAGGGTGAGTTGCAACTGAATTTTTATTAATGAGCCAGAACTCAGTTGGACTCCTCAGTGCACTTGATTCTCACCACCTCCTTCCCCTGCCCTAAACTTAATTTTTAGGGTAAGTGATAAACACTTATTTTAAAATTTTTCATTAAGTTACAGTAAACATTAACTCTGGGATTTGCCCTCAGGTCAGAGCATGTACAGTCAACTCTCCAGTGCTTCTCATGTCTGTAGCAGATGGGGCCTG